TATGCTCTAAACCGTTGATAGGTTTCTTACCAGGCTTTCCGGGGATGTCACAGATACTCCCTTGTGCCAATAAGGACAGGACGAAGAGTACGAGGAAGACCATCGTTGTTACTTGAGGCTCGCACTTGGAATCGACGCACTAGGAACCCCACTTGGAGAATTGGCTATGGATAACGCAATGGTTCACTCTCCATTCAAGTCGTTTCGTTAAAAGGATTGTATTAATAGGACTACTAATACTACTATTACTTCTTCGTACGTGTGCGCATTTCCATCATTTCTCTTTCTTATTTTCTGTTTTTTTTTTCTTTATTGGGGGATTTATATATATCTTTCTTATCTATTTCTTTATTGGTAATTCGACTGTCGTTAATATATAAGGGGAGTAGCTGGCTTCTTGGTATTAGTTTGACACTGAGAATACATTATCGCTGTCCATGTAGCATTTACTTCTACAATGTTTTCATATTGATACACTTACTCTCTCCCTTGTCGAGGGGAAAACACACATACACTTTCCACTTTTCGAACAATCAGTCATTTTTCAAGTAAAAAAAAAAAAAAATTCTAAATGTTAAATAAATAATAATAACGATAATAATAATCAGTCAGATCGGCGCGACGAGCGAAGGGAAAAAGATAGCCGAGGTAATACGCAGGGATACCGGGACCGGGTCGGAGCAGAGAGTCACACAACCTTCCTCTCTGGCAGCCGTCGCACCACTGACCGGCTGTGACTCCTTCAACCCGACCTGAAAACTCACCTCCAATCCGGCTGTTGAGGACGCTCCGCCGCGAAAGTCTACGGTGATCAATCTCCACCATTCACCCTTTTGAAGAACATAAGCGAACACTTGTACATTATATCACAGAGTACCATGTGTTATAGCCTTTCAGACTACCTAGCATGAGGTACGGAGAATTATGTAACCATTTCATATCGTCTGATGTCTTAGAAGATATACATATGTTGTATCTTAAATATGAAATGTATCACATTACCACAGATGTATTGTAGCAATGTCTTTCCACGAACAAGCTATACGCCGGCGTGGCAGATGAGTAGATAAAGGACTGTGTAATTGTTCCTTTCCTTTAACTGATATAGTACTTATCATGATGAAATTATAGCCTAAAATTCAAATGTAATACCATTATATAAAGTTATGACCATGCATCAAATGCACCACAGCAATTAGCCACAATGGTAAGTGAAAGACTAAAAAAAGAAAGATAATAATAATAAACTGTTGTTATAATAATAACAATAGTTTATTATTATTATTATTATTATTATTATTATCATTATTATTGATAGTAGTAGCAGTTGCAGTAGTAGGCTAATGTTTTATCAATATTACTATTTTTTATTATGATTATCGTTATTGTTATTATTTTTATTATTGTAGTTATTATTATTATTGTAGTTATTATTATTATTTCAGTTATGAATATTATTGTATTTGTTATTATTATCATTATTATGGTTTTACGTTAAAAGAAACACCATAATTTCTTGACGTTCATGAAAAATACAATTATAGATTAAAAATATGATATATATATAATAGATAGATAGATATGTGATATATATATATATATATATATATATATATATATATTTTTTTTTTTTTTTTTTTTTTTTTTTTTTTTTTAATCCTTAAACTTTTACTTATTTCACGAAAATGAGTAGAATTTTTGACGTTCCATTAAAAAGATATAGAGATAAACGGCAAATTGATTCACTTTTCATTATCCTTTTGAATAAAACAAACTGTTAAGAAGGAACGCACCTGGAAATGAATTAACTTTCAATAGTCATGTCATAAAAAGAGAAAAGAAAAATATTGGTTCTGTTTAGTTATTGATACTTTGCACACACTCATTAAAGAGGATATGATTAGAAATATCAGAAGGAAGTTTAAAGGTGTGTTTTATCGGAGAAAATTATGAGTTACGAAGTTTTTTTTTATGTGTGAAAGCGTAGTCATTTACGATTTGTTATTGTAAATGGATTTTTTTTTTGCATTACTTTTTCAGATATACCTTTTTCGTGTCATCATTATCTATGGACTTGATTTTATTCTTATTATCGTTATCAGTACCATTGCTTTTTTAATTATAATAACGTACATGTATGTATACATATGCACACACACACACACACACACACACACACACACACACACACACACACACACACACACACAGATACACACACACACACACAGATACACACGCACGCACACACACACACATACACACACAGATACACACGCACGCACGCACACACACACACACACACACACACACACACACACACACACACACACACACACACAGATACACACGCACGCACACACACACACACACACACACACAGATACACACGCACGCACACACACACCACACACACACGTATGTACATATATACATATATACATATATACAAACATATCATCATCATCATCATCAGCCTGAATCAATCCACTGCTGGACGTAGGCCTCTCCCAATTTTTTGCGACCTTGTCTGTCTTGCGTTTTTGGTTTCCAGTATAGGTCCCCATATTTCGTTATTTCGTTAAACTATCTTGTTATTGATCTGGTCCTATAGTCCTGTCTTTTACTTTCTTTGTCCATCTGCCGTCCTGTCACTGACATATATGACTCGCTCATTGTTTTTTTTGTTATGCTTACAAGTATATCTCTTATGAGTTTTATCTCTAGTAAATATGCCTAGACTGATGCGTCACTTTATTTCCTCTTCGCTAGATATGTTTGTCTATCGAGTTGCTCTAGATATATATCCTTGTCCATTACCTCTAGCGCTTCACCTTGTACATGTATCTGTTCGAATTGAACTGTACTGAATTTCAGACTTTCTCTATTCAGATCATAGATTAAGTGCTGCATTTCATTTGTAGATTCACTGACGAGAACAACATGGTCTGCAAACCTTAGATTGTTCAGGTATTCGTCTCCTATTTTGATACCCTTTCCGTTCCATTTTAGTTTTTTTTTTTAATATTTCCTCTAGGCAAGCTGTAAATAGTTTGGCGCCCTAACACCCTTTTTAATTGGTATTTTAGTGGTTTTCATGTGGATCTTCATGGTTGCTGTCCCATCTTCCTATATATCTTCTGATATTTTACAATGTACATTCTCTACTCCCTGTCTTTGAATAGCTTCTAATACTGCTGGTATCTGTACAGAGTCAAATCGATGAATGCCATAGACAGGGGTTTCCTATATTCTTTTATATTTTCTCAAATAAACATGTGGATGTGGTCTGTTGTTGAGAATCCACAACAGAAGCCTGCCTGGTCTCTATGCTAGTTAGAATCCAGACTATCAGAGATGTTAGTTGGGATGACCTTTGTGAATTGTTTGTAAGTATCTGAAAGGAGGCTAAAGTTTTTGGATCTTTTCTATCCCCTTTTTATCAAAATGATTGTTACGTTTTTCCAGGCTTTCGGATTTTTTTTTTTCCGTTGAGAAGGCATTTGTTAAAAAGATTGGCTAGTTTCACTGATGCCATTTCTCCCGCATCTATTATAATTCCGTCTTCACCTGGCGTTTCCTGTCTCTTCATGCCTTTAAGCTCTCTTTATTTCCTCTGTTGTGATGTTAGGTACGTCTCTAGTTACCGCGTTCACTTATCCGTGGATGTTCATTTGAGTTATATAGATCCCTGTAAAAGTCTTCCACTACTCTTGTTCTTGTTATATGTCACTTCTCCGCCTGGTTTCTTTATTACAAACACATGATATCTCCCTTTTCTCATACTGGTACCGAAGATCACTGTTTCATTTATTATTTGAGTAATGAATGTCCGTACAGCTCTCTCATTTTTAAATTTTAGTCTTTGTTAGTTCAGCTAATTCTATTTGGTCCCTGTTTGACAATGCTTTCATGACCCTACATTTTTGCATAAGCTGTTTAGTGTCCACCGAGAACTTGCTGGAGCTTTGCTTGACATCCTTACTGCCTACTTAAAGTACATCCTTCTTTATCATAATTGTCAATGAACTGTTTGTTGATTTGGTCAATGCTGAGATCTTCGTCGCTGAGAAGTGAATATCTATTTTGGATGTTAAGGTTAAATTCCGTCGATCTGGTCTTCACGTTAGCTAAATTTGGCTGCGGTTTTCACGTTAGTTTGTCCCTCACCCTTACGAGGTGTAATTTAGCTTGGCCTATGACCATTCTATGGTCACTGCTAGCATTTAAAATTATGAAGTTAATTTCATTTTTCATGTCTTTTAGCGACTTCCATGTCCACCTCCGCTCTAGTATTTTTTTTAGAAGAATGTATTTATGATATTGAGTGATCAAGCAAAATCGACTAGTATTTGCCCCCTCCCATTCCTAGTACCTATTCCGTGATCTTTTTTATCTATTTTGGCATGAAAATGTGCCTTACAGCATCTCGATGAGCACTGGGACCTTAAGAAATTATTTAGCACGGTAATGAAACATAGTATTCCTAGTTAGCATTTTCTGACTTTAGTATAAAATGTCCACGTATGCATGGTCCAATATTGAATTTTATAGACGTGGTTATTTTGGTTGGAATATTAGCTCTATACATTCAACGAATCTTTCTCTCTTACTTAGCACTATCAGAGATCACTTCTCACTCGTAATTTTTATCGCTTATTACCATTGACCTAACCACACCCTTTTAATCATTATTTATAAAAGTGTGTGTGTGTGTGTATATATACGTACATACATATATATATGTGTGTATATATATATATATATATATATATATATATATATATATATATATATATATTTATATATAAATATATATATATCATGTTGTAAAAGCATGCAACTATTGTAATATCCTTCCATTTATTCCGTCGTATTTTCCCTCACGCACTCATATATATCCATGAAGACGACGCCGCATTACCATCACTGAAACAAAACCATTATGATGCTGGATTTGACTGTGATAGAAGCTCATTAGGTTAATGTAATCTCTTTCGTTACCTTTCTTGCTCTCTCTCTCTCTCTCTCTTTCTGTCTATTTGTTTATCTTGTTGAGTTGGATATCAGTCTGTTTATGGCTGTATATTTGTGATCTTGTATCTCTTTTTCTTTCTCTCTTTTTCTCTCTCTCATCCTCTCTATGGTTAGCACACTTTGACTTCTATTATCTATCATATATATATATATATATATATATATATATATATATATATATATATATATATATATGTGTGTGTGTGTGTGTGTGTGTGGGTGTGTGTATGTATATATATATATGTATATATATATATATATATATATATATATATATATATATATATATATATATATATATATGTAGATATAAATATATTATGTGTATGTGTGTGTGTGTGTGTGTGTGTGTGTGTGTGTGTGTGTGTGTGTGTGTGTGTGAAGATTTGTGTACATACACACACTCACGCACACACACACATATGGATACACACGTGCATACATATATATATGTGTGTATATACATATATATTTACATATACATGTATATATAAACATATATACATATATTTTTGTATGCACACACACACACACATATATATATTTATATTTACACACACACACACACACACATATATATATATATATATATATATATATATATATATATATATATATATATATATATACATATATATCCCAATGGTGCCGGGAAAATGAACAAAAAATGG